CAGAGAAATATTTAATAGATTCGACCTTGTCCACATTTGCTACCGAGTTTGGTCGTGCTCGAGATGGATTAGACTAACATTTAGTCTATGAAATCTTATATTACACAATACCCTTCTCGACTCCAAAAATGAAAAATAAAACATTTCCCGATGCTGATTAGAGCTGCTTTTGTATACGTTTCTAGATTGTGTTTTTTCTTTTTTCATAAAATAAATAATGTATTCGCAATTCGACCGTCGGTCCAACAATTTATTCGCCTTATGGCAACCTCAAGTTATCAAGATTAACAATCTGTTATATATATATGTTTTTCAAATATGCCCTCAAGACCAGAAATGTACAGAAATGAAACATGTGAATCTATTTGTAAAATGATCCCTTGCTGTATGGTATGCATTACATGTCTTCGTGTATTTGGGCCTATGACCTTTCAAACAATACTCCTTTCAATATATTTTTATATTCTACCTTGTCGACAATATTCACAACATATATATAAACAACAAACAACCAGAGCGTTCTCGGTACTGAGTTGATGCAATTTTTGACAATGCAGGCGCGACGCATGTCACGGCCTAAATATATGCATGACACGTGGAAGTTGCGTACGGAACATAATCATGTATTTGTTTCACGTTTGTCTCGTGGACCTGACTTCCCCACACATGCTAATACATTCCTTTGCGAACTGAATACTGAATACCTGGGGATGACGTTCCGCATTCTGATACTCCACTTATTTCCAGCCTGTCTAGACACTGTGATTAGGGCAGTCTGTGAGATTAGGACATTGTCTATGTCAGAGACCATAACATAGACTAACATTTAGTCTCTGAAATCTTATATTACACAATATCCTTCTTGACTCTAAAAATAAAAACAATTCTCTATGCTGATTTGTGGAACAGAGCTAGCTTGAGATGGCTAGACTTGCTTTTGTATGCATTTCTAGATTATTATTTTTTCATAAAATAAATATATTCCACGGTCATGGTGCAGGACTAACCATAACATAGAACTATTGTATGGCCTGTCGTATCTGCAAAAGTTTGGCATGTATAAAAAGAAACCGAGTTTGTAGACAAACTGAGAGCATTTCGAAGGATTTTAATGAAACGTGTACCGACTTCCATCTGCCCCGAGCCAAGTCCCATAAACCCCATAGCAGTTAACGCTTTTAATATTGGCCGATGTTGTCAATATTGCTGAGCACAGAGCATACCTGTCAGCGTTAGAAACTAACAGTTTCAATCCACTAGTCCTTATAATGATAACATATAGCAAACCCCTTAAAAATGGCAAATTTCTACTTGTCCTTATGATACCTTTACCATTGGGCAGTTTGGCAAGGACTATAGGACTAGTGCCAATTTCTAACCCTGCCTGTGTATGGGTACCAGTGCACAGAGAGCATGTGGTCGGGAAGTGACCCAGTTGGTGTAATGTACTCGTTAAAGGATGGGCGGCGCTGAGTCGTCCTCACACACTCAGGTGTGTCGTTGCTATACAGGACCTACCTAATGTACTACTCAAAACAATTAAGGGAACATATCATTGTTGATACAACTGATAACAGTAAGAAAGTGAGATTTAATTGCTGCATATTCGCCGTTTTATTGTCCGTGAACAGCCGGAATTGCATGACCAAATGTTGTCCTGTCAACGCTGTCAAAGTAACACGTTACCAAAGTCACCAGGGGTCAAACCTAAGAGACCGCCTTCGTGGTCTAGTGGTAGAGCGTCCGCCCGAGAGTGCAAGGTCCGGGTATCGATCCCCGGCCGCGTCATACCAGAAGACGTTAAAGGGCAAGTTCACACGGAAATGAAACTATTTTTCTTGTACTTTTTCCACATTAAAAGTGTTAACCTAGAAGTGTCAAAGACAAAAATATAAAAATATCACAATTAATTAACATATTTTTCGCATTAAAACGATTTATATTTTTCACATTTACCAAGTGTTCTATTTCCACAACAAAAACACCATGGCTTATGCCCCTTGCAATATGACGTCATTGGTGCCAATTGATAAACATTATGACGTCATCATGCTTTGTTAGAGCCGCTTCACGTGGTGTAGGTCCAGGTGTGTGATTCTAGCGTCTCAGATGCCAGCCAGCATAGTGTTATGCTGAGTCACCACTGCGCCGGAGTGTGTCGTAGGCCATGGTGTTTTACCGCAAACTGGTACTTGATATCTTTTGCGTTGAGAATAGACAGGGACCCAGTTGAATTGGCACCAATTACGTCATAATCTAAGGGGGATAACTCAGGCCTGTTTAGCTCGAAAAACGAAGGCCTCATAACGGCATATCATTTTCACACTATTGTGAGCTTCCTACGTTCACTGTGAAAAAAATGAGTGTATATTTTCAAACACAGATACTAATTAATTCTAAAATTACGTTTTGTTTAGAATAAGAAAGAAAGTGATTTTTGCGTGTACACTTCCCCTTTAACAAATGGTACTTGTTACCTTGTCTGGCGCTCGACATTAAAACGTCTAAAACAAGCACTGGTCGGCTCGGAGTGTGCTAGCACTATAAGATTGGCATTGGTCCAATCTCATTAAAATCAGATCTTAGTTCCCGCTATCGCAAAACAAAGATATGAGGACATCCCATTACGGGTCACGTCAGAACGACCTTTCATCCGACCAATCAAAGCGTCGCTTACCAGATCATGCAAGTAACAGTCGGAATGTGTTTTCTAATCATGCAACCTCGAAAACTTTAACACGGGGTATACCGAACGACAGTTACAGCCCGTACAATTGATTCCGTCAGAATGATCGTCTTTCTCGCCCTCGAGAAAGCTGCTTTCTAATTGGCTGATGTCGACTTCTTGTTAGTCATTTCATTGGTCGGTCAAAGTTCGCAAAAGGTCCTTCTGACGTGACCCGTAATGGGATGTCCAGAGATCTTCGTTTATCGGCAGCGAGAACTAGAATGAGATTGTGCCCATTTCGAACTCTAGATGTGTATTACATTACATGAACTTGTCTCAAAGCATAGGAGGTGTGATCGTCGCGATCATGTGCATGGTGAGTTGACGTTATCATATGTATGGCGAGAACTAAGCAGCAACACATATCACTTCCAGAAATCAGATGAACTCATTTAATCCTTGGCTTCTCCCCGGAATGCCAGTTGCATTCGTCACCACTCGCCCCTTTCCGTAACCTTCACGAATGTGCCAGTTGGTTACAAAGCTTCATTTTCCGAACTTCTAATAGAAGCAGCTGTAAAATCTAATGTCCTGTAGAATGATGCCTTGGGACATTAGGTCATGATGAAAACATGGTATCTGTATTTGGGCCAGGGGAAAATGGGGATGGGGTGGGTGTTTGTTGTTCAGCAAAATATGATAGTGATAAGACCAATCACACCACCCCCAATCCCCATAGACTGGGACATTTATTCAGACTAATTTGAGCAATCCTTAACTGGTATTGAAAGACAACAACATACACTTGGCAGGTAAATGACTAAATAAAACATAAGACTGCCAGCTGGCTGAAGCCCAGTATCTTTTCAACACACTTTAGAACAGTTTTTCATTTATATATAAAGATGTTAGCTTATAGTGTGAGTAAAGGGATGCAGGTAAAAGATGCTTAATACTTTTGAGTGAGTGAGTTGTGTTTAAGGCTGCTTTGAACTATTTTACAGTTCCATCACAGCTTATCAGCGTAATTCGAGGAGGAAGGCCGAAGTAATGCAGATCTCAAGACATTTACCCATGAATAATGACTGATTTTGAATCAGACAAACCAGTGACTGTGCAATGATCCACAAAAGTTGGGCATGATGACCACTCTGACAAGTCAGCGAGCACTCAATCCATGGTTTTGGTTTGGTTTGTTTGTTGTTTAACGCCCACTCAGCAATTTTTTTCAGCTATATGACGGTGGTCTTTAAATAATCGAGTCTGGACCAGGCAATCCAGTGATTGCTAGCAACCTTCAATGACAAAATCAAAACGATCTAATGGGACTTATAATCCCTGACAGTCTCTTTTTCAGTATCCATTGTTAGAATTTGGCCCCATGCCACCTATGTTGGCTGTAAGAGGCGACTGAATGGACCGGGAGGCGAGACCACGCAATGTGGTTGATGGCATGTTAACGTACCTCAAAGGATCGACTGTCTGGTCGAGGCGTGATTATTTACAGTCCGCCGTCATATAATTGTAATATTTCCGAGTGCAGTGTTAAACAACAAATATATAAAAACTTATTTTGCTATTAAAAAAATAATGAAGTCATGATAGAGTTATCTCCCTTACACTAAAAGTCCAGTTAGGATACATGAAATGCATTTAATACCAAAGCTACTATAAAACAAACAAAAACAGGAAAAGCATAGATGGTTAAACTACAATAGCTATTGTGACATGTAATTAATTGTACACTTTTATTTTGTATTTCTTCCTTAAATCTCCCCCCACACTACCCCTTCATTTTCACACCATGAACATATCTGGGTTCCATAAAGGTTACAGATATCCTCCTAAGTTTCAGACTTTCAGCCTTTTCAGAGAAGTTGAAAATTAATAACCACATGAACAGCTGTTTGACAACATGCTGTCAGTTCCTGGTAGGCTAAGGCCTAAAAGAATAAAAGAATTGGTTCTCAGGCAATGACTTTTGAAAATATAGTGCGGACGGGGGGGTGTATTTTTCTTTTGACTTGTTCAAACTAGTATGCATTCAAATAAACAGTTGTGCACCATCAGCCTGGGAAAGAGCCTCCCTACATAAACAAGCATACAAACTCCTATTGCCGCCATGACCATAACACAAGATGCGCAGAAAAGCAGTGCCCATGTAAAGGGAAGTAACTGCGTGCGATATTGGATCGCAGTATTAGGATTTAAAGAAAAAAGAAAATACGAACGAAACGTCTAATGTGTGATGGCCGATTCTTCAGCATCCGTGTTGGTGCAGTATCAAGACACCACTGTTTCAAATATTTATACACATCACATAAAACAGCGGTACAACTTTTATTTTCTTTATTGGTAATCATACAATAATATTTCATTGGATTGTAGAAATAATGTTACCAACAATGCACACACTATCACACCACAATCACACATCATTATGACATTGTGAGGACTTAATGATAACAGGATACATAAACATCCTAATGAATGCATTGACACACAGCTCGGACAGTCACTTTAGACTTCCCTGTATAGCGATGGTCGTGTCACAGCGGGTGACCTTGCCTAGATGAACACTACCATGCTAACTGTTGTTCATTTCCCGATGAACGTCAGCATGTCACGTGTTTACGTTGTCAATCGAGCCGAGATTACTGAACAACTTTAGGGAAATTCCTAAAGGTCTAAAAATAACATCAAATAAGGACAGGATCATCATAAGATTCAGGCTATGAATGATGCAGGTTTTGAAGGCAGACAGATTATAATATGTCGGGTCACCAAAATGAAGCGTCCATTTGAAGTTACAACAGAGAATGCTCTACTTACCAAAAGAAATCACTAAGCTTCCCGTAGGCCAATATGAGTGGAGAATATTCAAACTGCGCCGTCTAAAGGGGTTATCCTGGTCATCAGCAGCTAATGTAGCCACACACCCAAAGTTTACATTACATTTATATAATGAATCTTATTATGCGCTTCGCTCATCATGGAATTTGCTCACTGTCTTCATCAGCTGGTGAACGTCAACAAACACAACATCAGTCCTTAAATGATGAAGTGACATTCATCCCAATATAGCAGATGAAACCAATACAGATCTCACACACGAACAAAACACAAAGTATACTCCCATTGGTTACACATTCAGCAAAGCTACTGTTCACATTCAAACTTGCATTTTGTTAAATTATTGCCAGTGTTTTCTTCCATTATGTGTTATAGTTAAGAATGTGATGTTTCACCTAATTCTTCCTATACTGCAGAACAAATGGGATACAACACACGCATCATGACACAATGACAGGCACTACCAAAGTAATCATCACACAAAACAATCATGCTCCTATGTGTACTAATGTAAGGAGATCCACAAATAATAAGAGTGAAAAGTCACAACTGTTACCTAGATGAGTGCTGCTAAACAGGCGAAATAACTTCGGCGAATAATTCCCTGATAATAAAGGTGCCCAGTTTCATTCAACCCCACGCATTTACATCACACATACTTAACTTTCGACCCATATATGCATTCAAGTGTATAAAAAAAAATCACAACAACCTAGGTTAAAAATTATTACATATCAACAGTTTAAAGTATGTATGTTTGACAAAATGTTGAACAAGTAAAGTATTTAAATAAATTGCTAAAACCAGCTACATACTGGTAGATCCTCAAAACCTACTTGAAAGGTTGTGATCTTTTGGAGAGCTTCAAGTTCAACATTTGGAAGCAAGTCAGGAATATTCTTGTTTGTCGTCTCCGTTACAACATTTTCTGAGTTATATCAACAGTTAGCCATGACTGTGGCCTTGATTTCCAAAAAGAGTAAAATCTTTGGAAAGAATAATACACATGGTCAGTATCTAAAGGATTTGATCGTAAATACCTTAACTAAAATGAATATTTCCATCTTTCTTTCTTTTTAAAGTCCTAGATAATTTTTGTCACTAATCAATATAATCACGTGACTAACGTGTCCGGGTAGTCCTGTGGGTACCCGGATCCTACTCAGTACCCACCCAGCCCTAGTAGAAGGAATGCTGGCCATGCAAGATACAGCCTGTAGATAAGTACCCTCCTAAAGACTGTGTGTGGCAAGTGAAGTGCAGTCATAAATTCATTGAAACACCTTTTCTCCAACAGCAATATATCATACGTAGTCTGACGCTTTTAGAAAGCATAAGCCCACTATCACTCTATCATGTCTGTAGAACATTTTCAAGGAGTTAATTTTTTTTTGAATGAATCGCACCCACAGACCGAAACCATATACCATAGAATACTTTTGATATTATTATGACATATTCTGGATTACTCAAGTAGTGGGGTCTTGCATTCGTGGGAGTTAAATGATATGAGTCATAAACAGTGACTATTGTTAATGACACATTTAGCAGTACTGCACCAATGGAACAGTTGGGGACACCACACATAGACCTGAGACATTGTACCCATGTGGAGAATAGAACCCAGGCATTCAGAAGGAAGGATGTATATCTTAACCCCTTCATAAACACTGTGGAATATTGCTGATGCGGCTTAAAGCAACATTTACTCACTCACTCATAAACACTGACTATTGTTAATGACACTTTTAGCAGTACTGCACCAATGGAACAGTCGGGGACACCAGACATGGACTTGAGACATTGAACCTATGTGGAGAATAGAACCCAGGCATTCGGAAGGAAGGATGTATATCTTAACCCCTTTATAAACAGTGACTATTGTTTACCAATGGAACAGTCGGGGACACCAGACATGGACTTGAGATATTGTACCCATGTGGAGAATAGAACCCAGGCATTCGGAAGGAAGGATGTATATCTTAACCTCTTCATAAACAGTGATCCTCATCTTGTCTATACATAGCGTGTTAAGGGAAGGTGTATCGAGTTTATCACTTGGATGGTATGTGAAAAGCTCAATATTACCAGTGTACAGTTACAACCAGCACCATGTGAAAAAAGTCTTTCCCAACAAGCAGTCTACTCCAAATGTGAGATGGAATATTTGATTGTTTCGACAGTCCTCATTGTATTTTTATGCCTGAAATCACACCAGTCATAGTAAACAAGTGAGGTGAACAAAAAGTAAACTATCTTCATCCTAAAAATAATACTTTACAGGTGCTGAATCAAAACTAGCAACTGAGACATGCTTTCAAGGGAAGTTAAATATATGGACACTGGATTGGTTTTGCTGCAAACATTTTGTCTCACAGAATATATTTCTGTGATATTTCAAGGTTTCCTTAATTAAACTGAATATTTTCAAGATGATATGACAAAGCCAGACTGTGAGATATGCTGAATGCTATTTCAAAGCATTGAAAGATTACCCAGGATATTTTTCCCAGGTACATATTCCAGGACTGGAAAGAGTACACAAATGTCCCCGATATCAACTCATTCCAAAGCAAATTGGAGTAGGCCCCTTGAGCTCCGATGTATGGTCATCATCCAGCCATGGTCTACATGCTCCTGTCCTTGGGCACCTTGTATTTCATGCCCACATAGTCAAAGATGTCTTCCTCACATGTGACAGGAAGTGGTTCCCCGGGCGTGCCTGTGCTGCCTACAGGGCGTATGCAATACTCGTTGATAGTGAAGCCCTCGTCCAGGGCATGCTGCCTCATGTTCTTGTTGAAGACGTCGGAGCCAGTGAAGTACAGCAAGGCACAGAAGTACTGGTCGTGGGGTATCAACCTGCACACACACAGGCACACAGGCTTTAAGATGCAAATATACAACTCAAAACAAGTTAAGGACCAGTATGTTACTATAGCCAATCTGTCATGCCATGCCACCTTCTTGTGAGTAGTGTAGCATTGTCGCATGTTTTAAATAGTCTTCAGGACAAATTTGAAACAATAATATTCAATAGATAAATTAATGAAAAAATTAATTCTACAGCCTTTCAGTAAGAAAGGGTTGCAGGAGAAACATCTTCCAGTCTCAAGTTAAAACATTCTTGCAAATTAGTGCTGGATTATTATCTCAAATTCTAAATTCCATTTAGTCATCAAACAAACTTCTTATAGAGAGACTACAATAAGATGTGTTGGGTAACTTCTTCTAACTTCAGGCTAATTGAGAACACAGATTATCACCTTGACAACAACTCAGGATTGAGCAATGCCTCTTCCTGCACACAAATAGACCTTCAGGGTAGAAAATATTCAGTAGCACAAATATTTTCTTGTCAGTATTTCTTCAATGGTAAAACATAGTCTTTGTTATCAGGTCCTCTTGCACCACTAGGTCACCCCACACCATTAGTTCATACTGGTCTCACCTAAAACTACTGGGCTACCTAGTGTCCATGGGTGTGAAGTAACTAACCTGATATCTAGTCTCCTGTAGCTCCTCTCCTCTGTGTCATCTGCTTCCTTGGGTTTGATACAAACTCCCTGAAACAGTTACGGTACACACTGCATGGAGTCCTACAGATGCATGTGCAGATTGCACCTCTACTTGCTTTGCAAATGTTGGGAACCACTTCACCGAGACATACGTTAAGTATATTTCCTAGTAAGTAAACTTAGTTTATGCCATGCCTCTGCACAGGAAATAGGAACATTAACACACAGTAACACTTAAACTGACCACATAAACTATTCCTTCCTTCCTAAAGAGTCAGTAAAGAACCTCACAAAGATTTCAAATTGTCTTTGGTGGCTCCAATTATATTTATTGTGAGTGAGTATGATTTAATGCCTCTTTTAGCAATATTCCAGCAATATCACTGCAGGGGACACCAGAAATTGGCTTCACACATTGGACCCATGTCAGAATCAAACCCGGGTCTTCGGCATGACGAGTTAATGCTTTCACCACTAAGGTACCCAACTGCCCTATATTTATTGTGTTTTTTAAAATAGGGGATGTACGCTTTCTCTTTTCTTCATAAACACTGCAAGTGTTGATCTTGAATAAAATATCGAAGTAGGCCAATAGGGGAAGGCCAATATTACTTGGCCTTGGCCTTGGTGCTCCTGCTTTTGTTTCAGTTCTTATTTCACCTTATAATATTTCAAGACAGTGCTTTAAAAATCAAACAAATTGAGAATTCTGTTTTATATTCAACCAGTAATATTGTTTAGAATCAAAGCTTGAATAAAATGTAGAACTTACCATAAACTTTGAATCCCCTAGGGAGATGGTGTCCGTTACAAAGTTGTTGGCCTCCAAACACTTCACAACTTTATGCAGCAGGTCAGGCTGCAGGGCAAAGACATATCTTAATTTTTCACATTATACATTAGAAATTCGAAAAAATTGGGTGTCATAATACCAATATCATCAACAGAAATGAATAATCGTTTAATAAGTTTGATCCTGACTGGATCATTTGTCTCGTACCTTAACATAATTCAGGAACGAAATTCCATGCCGTTTTGCAAGTAACTCGCCTGATATTGTATCAGTTTGTATCAATACAACAGGAATCACACATGACAAAGGGAGGAAAATCTTTCTACTTGATAAACCTGAGGCCAGAAGCAAACAGATCCATTTAGTGAAAAGAATCTCACTGTAAGTAGAACAGAAAGCAAATATAACAGACATTTAAGGCTGAAGTTTGCCATCTTCAGTTAATCAAAGCTAAATTGTTTTTACCATTTTTTTACCGCCACTGACATAGCTGGGGTGGGCGAGGAGAATATCTATATCACCACTAGAGGTAGCACCTACAAACAGAGATGGACACAAATACAAACAGGCATTGACATGATTCCTATTAAACAAACATAAAAGTGTTTGTATTCATTCAAAAGCAGAACATAAATCACTTTCATCTTAATTGCCATATAAGTATTTTTTATAATAAGACGAACTTGTCTTGATCAAAGTAGGTCACTGTGACATTTGTTACATATAAATAATAGGAAATGCATCAATATATGAGTCCAGTTCTTATGTTTGTAAAATTGAAAATGTTTAACACAACAAAAGCAGTGAGTGAGTGAGTATCGCTTTACGCCACTTTTAGAATATTCCAGCAATATCACGGTCAGGGACACCAGAAATGGGCTTCACACACTGTATCCATGTCGGGAATAGAACCCGTGTTTTTGGAGTGATGAGCGAATGCTTTAACCACTGGGCTACCCGACCGCAAACAACAAAAGCAGGTGACAGTGACTTTCTAGATATAGGATAACACTTCAAAGAATGGGATTTGGAAGAATATTAAATCTGTTCATAAATTGACACAGGACACAGTACACAAGTAATGGGTGCCCAACTGTCAACATCTACTGAACCTAGCCTGTAAGAGGCGACTATGCTTGTCGTAAGAGGAGACTAACGGGAATGGGTGGTCAGGCTCGCTGACTTGGTTGATGCATGTCATCGATCCCAATTGCGTGGATTGGATGCTCATGATGTCAATCACTGGATTGTCTGGTCCAGACTTGATTGATTACAGACTGCCGTCATATAGCTGGAATATTGCTTAGCGCGGTGATAAACAAGAAACAAAAAACGAGTGGAGATATTTACCATTAAATGTAGACCAGTGAATGAAGCACCCATACAATACTTAACACAACCCAATAGGACAATGTGCACCAGTGTCACAGAAGCCCATCACCAGTAACAAATGCTGTGGGCGACGACTTACAACAAGACTGAAGTAGATGTTAAGCTGGCATTTTGTGTTTTAAGTTTTTGATGACCATACCTCTCCTGAAGCTGCCACACACTTTAGCTGTGTATTCGCTGTCAAGTTTCTTGATTGCCCCAACACTAGTATCCTGCAAACAAAGCAATCAGTTAAACTGACATTTAGAAAGGTGTCATACACTCACTCTTTGTAGTGCGTGCTAGTTTACCTGATTAGGGCCTCTGTAAAACATTCACACAAGTATATCAAGATGGTGTTTTCATATATATACATATAAGATAGCTATGGATAAATCGCAAAGAACTATGAAGCACGAAGTATGGATTATTTCACGATAAAACATTGTTCTATCATGAAGCTATTCCTAGAGATTTGAACATTCACTCAAAACTTGATGATGTTGTAAATTGGACGCCGTTATTTTTGAGAGGGAAGTGTCTGGTGAGTTCCCCACAGATGTAGCTGGGGTACTAGGATAAACACAGTGGCCGAATGATCACATCCAAAAGTGGGTGACATCTGAAAATTTGATACTGGGCAGAAAGGGACAGATAATCGACGTGAGAATTGTTCGAATGTGGTACAATAAAACATTGCAGGGAGAATAAACTACTCGGGGCTGCACCCTCATGGTTAATTCTCCCTGCAGTGTCTTATTGTGCAATAAACAACTCCCATTTGTCATTTATTTCTTAAATGTCTTGTGCATGGTTGTGTAAGGTTTTCACACAATCATGAGACAACAGTCCACTACAATAATGACATTACATGACACAACAATCATGACACTACATGAGACTGCAATCATGACAACAGTGAAGTTCAATCATGACACAGCAATCATGACACTACATGACACAACAATCATGACACTACATGACACAACAATCAAAACACTACATGACACTGCTATCATGACACTACATGGCATTGTCATCATGACAACAGTGCAGTGCAATCATGACACTATATGACACTGTAATCATGACACTACATGAAACAGCAATCGTGACACTACATGACACAGCAATCATGAAACTTCTTGGCACTGACCAAGACACTACATGACACAGAAATCATGACACTACATGACACAGCAATCATGACAACAGTGCAGTGCAATCATGACACTATATGACACTGCAAACATAACACAACATGACACAGCAATCATGACCTTACATGACACAGCAATCATGACACTGCAATCATGACACTACATGACACAGCAATCATGACACTGCAATCATGACAACAGCGTAGTGGAATCATGACACTACATGAAACAGCAATCATGACACTACATGACACTGCAATCATGACAACAGTGTAGTGGAATCATGACACTACATGACACTGTAATCATGACACTACATGACACAGAAATCATGACACTACATGACACAGCGATCATGACAACAGTGCAGTGCAATCATGACACTATATGACACTGCAAACATGACACAACATGACACAGCAATCATGACATTACATTACACAGCAATCATGACACTACATGGCATTGCAATCCTGACAACAGTGCAGTGCAATCATGACACTACATGACACTGTAATCATGACACTACATGACACAGCAATCATGACACTTCATGACACTGCAATCATGACAACAGTGTAGTGGAATCATGACACTACATGAAACAGCAATCATGACACTACATGACACTGCAATCATGACAATAGTGTAGTGGAATCATGACACTACATGACACTGTAATCATGACACTACATGACACTGTAATCATGACACTGCAATCATGACACTACATGACACTGCAATCATGACACTACATGACACAGCAATCATGACACTACATGGCACTGCAATCATGAAACTTCTTGGCACTGACCAAGACACTACATGACACGGAAATCATGACAACAGTGCAGTGCAATCATGACACTACATGACACTGCAAACATGACACAGCAATCATGACATTACATGACACAGAAATCATGACACTACATCGCACTGCAATCATGACAACAGTGCTGTGCAATCATGACACTACATGACACTGCAATCATGACATTACACTACAGGTCTTGAAACACACACCTCAATGTACTGCTAAACAATCTCAGGTGTGACTCACATGTTTCAAATCCTGTCTTCAAGGTAACTATTAAATGTTTTGTGTTTGAATCCTTAACAGGATAGAAAAAACCTTCTCTGTTTCTATACACATGTAAAGTAGTGGGATAGGTAGGTTTCCATTTGCCTCACACATAATAGATTTTGTCACAGTTGGCTAGCTTCAAAGATTGCCAGAGAGTTTCTTGGTGAAAATAGTCCTATTCTTTGGAAGAAACTTTACATAGCAACAACAGTGTCATGTTTCGGGACACACTGAATGATGTATGTTATTTAGGACGAAGCAGCAATTCTTGTCAGAGCAACTTAACAAAGGCATACATTTGTTACATTGATTTTTCTAAAGTTTATCTTCTTCGTTCCAGCACATTTCATCCACAACATTTTTAATTACATGGTTGTTTAGAAACCAGTGAATTGGCCCGTGCCCTGTTTCATAAGAAGGTCGAATGCAAAGACGACTGTAACTCCTGTACTATAAAAGAGACTTACGACACCTGTAGGGCTATTGGGGTTTTGTAAAACACGGGTCCAGGGCAGTTGAAGCAGACAGGAGTCATAGATGGTTGTCGGGTGATTGATTTGCTGCACCCACTTGTAAAGCAACCAACTGACGTCACGTTTTTTCCAGAAGACCAGGATATTGGGATTGACACAGTGATGGATATACATTTTCCATTCTTACAAAACATATTATGTACTATGCCATTTATATCTTGGAAAAAATATATTACATGTCTGAAATCTATTTCCAAACCTGGATCTCCTTCACTTTACTGAAACTAATAGATGTACACCATGAAATTAGCTCTATTGTAGCAATATGATGGTGTTTGGTGTTGTGAGATAGACTGCATGACATACAGACTTACAGACTTCAGTGTTGACTGACATATAGACTTCAGTGTTGACTGACATACAGACTTCAGTATTGACTGACATACAGACTTACAGACTTCAGTGTTGACAGACATACAGACTTCAGTGTTGACTAACATACAGACTTCAGTATTGACTGACATACAGACTTCAGTGTTGACTGACATACAGATTTCAGTGTTGACTGAGATACAGACTTCAGTGTTGACAGACATACAGACTTCAGTGTTGACTAACATACAGACTTCAGTATAGACTGACATACCGACTTCAGAGTTAACTGACATACAGACTTCAGTGTTGACTGACATACAGACTTCAGTGTTGACTGAGATACAGACTTCAGTGTTGATTGACATACAGACTTCAGTGTTGACTGACATATAGACTTCAGTGTTGACTCACATATAGACTTCAGTGTTGACTCACATACAGACTTCAGTGTTGACAGACATACAGACTTTAGTGTTGACTCACATACAGACTTCAGTATTGACTGACATACAGACTTCAGTGTTGACTGACATATAGACTTCAGTATTGACTGACATACAGACTTCAGTGTTGACTGACATATAGACTTCAGTATTGACTGACATACAGACTTCAGTGTTGACTGACATATAGACTTCAGTATTGACTCACATACAGACTTCAGTGTTGACAGACATACAGACTTTAGTGTTGACTCACATACAGACTTCAGTATTGACTGACATACAGACTTCAGTGTTGACTGACATATAGACTTCAGTATTGACTGACATGCAGACTTCAGTGTTGACTGACATATAGACTTCAGTATTGACTGACATACAGACTTCAGTGTTGACTGACATATAGACTTCAGTATTGACTGACATACAGACTTCAGTTTTGACTCACATATAGACTTCAGTGTTGACTGACATACAGACTTCAGTGTTGACTGACATATAGACTTCAGTATTGACTGACATACAGACTTCAGTGTTGACTGACATATAGACTTCAGTATTGACTGACATACAGACTTCAGTGTTGACTGACATATAGACTTCAGTATTGACTGACATACAGACTTCAGTGTTGACTGACATATAGACTTCAGTATTGACTGACATACAGACTTCAGTATTGACTGACATATAGACTTCAGTATTGACTGACATACAGACTTCAGTGTTGACTGACATATAGACTTCAGTATTGACTGACATACAGACTTCAGTGTTGACTGACATATAGACTTCAGTATTGACTGACATACAGACTTCAGTGTTGACTGACATATAGACATTTCAATGTCAGTGTATTAGGGTTGTAATGTTTCCAGAAAGAATCTCATCATGGAGCTCAATTCCTTGATATGAGAAATAGTATGAGAATTGTATCATAAGGTTAATATAAGGTGATTGATGGGAACAATTCTATCATTCTATGACATACCAAACTGTTTACCAATAATTGATCAATTTTGTGATTGTTAGTCTAATTATCACAAGTGTACTAAATTTGTCAACTTTCAAAGTGCAAAATGTCTTCTAACATGGCACATGTCATTAATCATGTCATGTATTTAAGAATTGAGACTTTTTTCGGTGTGTTTGGAGGTAGAACTGTAAAACCGGTGTGCATATTGTGTAAATATGCATACCAGATTTACCCAAAGTGTGCACTCTGCTACTAGTGACCACACCAACACTGTAACAAACTTCAATGAATTATCTACCTGTAGTAGCACCATCTCATCTCGTGGGATTCTCTTTTCAAAATCTTCAAAATGCCTGAAACAAATTGTTTATAAAGTCAAGTATTATCAAGCTCATTTGTTGGGGAAGAGATGATAAACATTGATAAAACAGTAGACTCTACAGAGCTCCAGATAAGCTGAGTATCTGCCTGAAATACGCATCAGAAATGCAGAAATACGCAGTAAAATATAATCCAAGCGTATCAAATACGCAACGAACATTACAGATACGCTACAAAAATAATACTTGTGCGTATCATCAAAATATTGTGAAGTAACCCTGCGTATTCGATTAGCAAATGAGCAACTTATTTTGAAATTATAAGTTGGCATTCCGTCAACCTTGCCAAACTCCACGGTGACAGTCAGATCATGATCATTTGCCATCACACTTTCTTGTGGAAGTATCGTGGTATTTTTTAGTCCTATAAAGCTCTCGAACCCACACGACACCAGTTTGCAGGGACTAGATGAATAGTGTTTTAAATATTTAACTTAAATACCCACATGTGTAAAAACTAGTGGGTAACAGAAATTTGAATACGCAGATAGAATTACTGATACCCAATGATTTTAAAATGCATGGGTAAAATACCCACAACACCAAAAGCTTATCTGGAGCTCTGCTCTAGTTAAGTGATTCAAGTGATTGAGCCAGAAATATTTACATTGCAGATTTCTACTTGCTACTCAGACAATTAAAATTCTTTCGTCCCAAATAATATGTCAAATATAATCGCTTCAGTACACAGCCATGAATAGAAACAAAAAAGAATTAATTCTTACTTATAATACACGTTAGTAAATGACAGACTGTGTGCCAGTGTATGATTCCTTGGGTCAGTCCCAGTAGAATTAAGTCTGATCATAGGGACTATTATCAGCTGTGCTTACTAGTCCCAACAGAATGTTACTAGACTTGGGCTTTGGATTAGTGGCTAAAATCACAGTCTACACAATCAACAATTTGTTGTTTGGTGATTATATGTTATAGACAGGAATTTATTACTCGCCCATTGACGATACCACTGTTTATTCTTATAAATTGGTACTACACACTGTTTAATAGCAAAGCATGTGCTCACATAATGCAGGAACTAATTTCACAAACAAATATTGAAAACTCCAAACATCCCTGGGTTTATTCAATGACCTTAGCTTTGTTGAACGGAGCCTGAACATTGGTATTACACAGTGTGCGTTTAATGTCTTAATTATTACTTGCCATTTACAGTGTAAAAACAAAATCACTGTTGTTTGTAAATAGGCAGACATCTATGTGATCCACAACATAATCCAGTCGAGTATTCAAACAGAATAATACAAATTGACACATATTAAATTAATGCCATACAATGGTCCTTCTTTAGAATTTAGGCGTCCGTTCCACAAAGTTATCGTAACACAAAGGTGATCATAACTCCCATATTACAACAGGGTTGATGGGGTCATCGAGTGTGCCTCATCTCCTCTCAGTGAGCTGTCACCTCAACACGCAATGTCATTACATAACCAGCCATAAGCCCAGGGATGTTGGGAGTTTTCAATACCGTTGAAACTAGTCCCACAGTATATATATATAATCACATGTTTGGTATTACACAATGTGTAACTCCAGCCTATTGTATTAAATAATGCTCTCTTCAATGGGCGAGTAATAATTCTAGTCAATTCATCAAGAATGAGATGATGATGATAAAGATGAGGATGGTGACGACAGCGATGATGACAATGATGATGATGATGTTGAGGAGGAGGAGGAGGAGGAGGAGGAGCAGGAGGAGGATGATTATGATGATGATGATAAAGAAAGGGTCTACAAAGATGGAGATGTGACTGGTCAAGCTATGTCTCCTACAGTCAACTGTACACAACAATCAGGCGGCCACAATGTTTCTTCTTACCTGACGCCTATTTTCTGTGCATTATTCAGTTTGTCCAAATTTTTTCTCAAATCTACAAAATAATGATAGAATACCAGTTTTAAACAATAAGAAGGCCTTTAAGCTGTGACCAAAGGAGATACATCTGTCAAACAATACATCACGGTAAACATGTAATACAATATACAGTACTGCTTTGCTTCCATACATTCGACTGTTTTATGATAACAGAATTGTTCACAGGAACTTATAGTAATCATACAATACTTCTCAGAACACATATCTTATGCAGATGATCATATATACCACATAATAACCAAAAATGGTATACATGATCCACAGTCACATGTACAAACTCTCTTGGCACATTTACAAACTACCAGTTTCAATACAGTAAACTACGTTTATAACAAACACGCTTATAACGAACTGGCGGATATAATGAAGTTCAGAACTGGGTTTTTTTGGCCCTGAAAATTTGCTGTATATATGCTGTATATATGTTTAGAACGAACTACAGATATAACAAAATTAAATTAGTTGTCCTTTTGAGTTCGTTAGTTTACTGTATTTAATTTACAGTGATGCAAACAGTATTTGTTTATACACCAATTCCGAGTTAAAATACAGCATCTGAACTTCACTGTAGAAGTTTGAGAAAATCCTCACGAGATTCCCCTACCTTCGACTGACATGATCCCTTCCTGCACAAACTTCTGTGCTGCAGCGGGTCTGAAATAAACAAATATACTGAATCAGGACAAAACTAACAGTAGATAAATTAGGCCTACCAAAAAAACCCAGCAGAGAGCAACCAAACATTTTCAAAGGAAAGAAACACAGTAAATCACACAGTAGAACCAACAGAGTGTTGCATTCCCCATTGTTTGTGTGTTGTTTAACGCCGCACTCAGCAATATTCCAACTATATGACGGCGGTCTGTAAATAATCGAGTCTGGACCAGACAATCCAGCGATTGACATCATGCCGTTGGGATACAATGACATGCATCAAATAAGTCAGTGAGTCTGACCACCGGATCCCTTTAGTCGCCTCTTACAACAAATATGGTCTTGTCTTTTATGGCAAGCATTGGTTGCTGAAGACCTAGTCTACCCTGGATCTTCAGGGGTCACAGTCTCCATTGAAAGTATGGCAGGTTTTAATTATTATGATGCAAACTTTATGAGGAATGTGTCTTGTTCGTAATTCCTCAAATTTCCAAACACTAGAAGTGAAATGATACATTGGTGCACTCATGCTTCATGACTTTTCATACGACGATACGGAACATGATACCTGGTTCTTTTTTTGTTTTTTTTAAATTTTTAAATGCTTTTTCCTGTATTGATACCCTATAAAAATTACTTACTTATTTTTTGTTTAATGCCCCCCCCCCAGCAATTTTGTGAGTCAAATATTGAAAAATGTATAATAATTAGCGTTTCGAATTCACAATTTAAAATAGCTACTACAAACATGTGACTAAAGCTAGCCTTTCCTTTGGAACATACTATGAAATATTTACTTCAACTTAATACTGTAAATCTTGAAATTAATGCGAGCGTGAATTAAATGCGAAAAATGTGTGGTCTTTGTTCGCGTTAATGAAACTTCGCATTTATGTCTCCAAAATAACTACCAACAATAAGACGACAGCCTCACTGCACACTTTGGATAGCAACTGACTGACTGACTGAGGTTGGGGATTTAACATGCGCTTTCTGACTTACAGCATATGTCGCACAAGGGCCGGCCAGGCCATTTAGTGTAATAGCCGAAAGGGGCGTAAATAATTTGCAATCCGATTTGGGGCTTTTAGGGATTGCTTATATAGGAATTTTGAAATTAGGAGATTTGGAATGTATGCCAGGGAGGTGTGGTTTGAGTTTGAGTTTAGGGGTTTTGTTTTGGTTAGCTTATTTGCTTATTTGGAGGGGTGTTTTTTGTTGTTTTTTTATATTTTTAAATGCAATTGATTAGATCTGTTTGGATTAAGTATTTTCTTAGGGCTTTAAAGTTGGATGTGTTGCTTTGAGGGTTTAATATTGTCCCTAAAGTTAATTCGAGGATAGCGGACATACCAACTTGAATATATACACAAACACGGTTTAATGAGTAGCAGTTGTAACAAGTACATAACATTGTCAATTAAAGAATAGGAATTACACAATAGACATCCGGTGAGTTATCACTGCTGGGGTCAAGAATTCTACCCACTCGTGTCAACCAAGGCATCACTGACCACTCCAATCAGTGAACTGTTGTTGGTTCAATTATTTTATTGCCTTTGAACTGTCTTAATGTTTATTGTTATTACAGAAGGATTTTACTCAGTGCTAATATGCGGTGCTATTTGCTGTTTGATTGGATTGAGGTAAGGATTGGTATCATTCCACTGGGGATCGGGGTGGGGGGAGGCGCATTGATTTTGAGTCGCATGTTTTGCTAGGGGTCAGTAGTTGTATTCATTTGGAGGCGCATTAATTTCAAGATTTAAAGGGTACAAAAAACGGGCCTGGCAAATCAGAGCCTGAGAGCATCAGCAACCATCTATGTCATCAGAACACGACAATACACAATCAGCCAACTCACAAGTGTGAGGTGAGGTTAAATGGGTTATAACATTGAGCTCAAGATTACTGCACTTATTTAGGGACGTAAGTGTGTGTGTGTGTGTGTGTGTGTGTGTGTGTGTGATTGTACTAGTCTGGACTAATGCCCATTGTATAGTGCTCGCCCACTAAGATACCATGCTGCATTATCAGTATACTGACTCAGAGCCAAGCAGTCCTTGTTTTAGCCCCTTAGTACTGAGGCAGGGTAACAACAAGTAGCACCTTTTTACGTACATGTATGACGCTGCCGGAGATTGAACCCCCAACTTCCAGCTCTCCAAGCAGACTCTACCACTAGACCACGGAGGCGGTCACCAATTCACAGAGTCTGACCATAAGATCCCCCTTGTCAAGAATAGTTTTCAGGGCCCTTAAACTAAGTTGATTGTCAATCCCATGATGTTAACATAGACTTTCAGCATAGTCGTAGGGAACAGGTATCCCAACAAGGTCAGTACCATCAGTTACATAACGAATGCTCATGTTAACCATCCATGCTCATATCAGTAGTCTTTGGAAACTACACTGGAATGTTTTGTTTGTTTGTTGTTTAACGCCGCAATCAGCAATATGCCAGCTCTATAACGGTGGTCTTTAAGTAATCAAGTCTTGACCAGACAATCCAGTGATTGACAACATGAGCATCGATCCACGCAATTGGGATCAATGACATGCATCAACCATGTCAACGAGTCTGACCACCTGATCCCATTAGTCGCCTCTTACGACAAGCATGGGTTGCTGAAGACCTATTCTACCCCGGATCTTCACGGGCCTGCTGGAATGTAGTTATCCTGGGGTGCTTATTACACTGAATACAGTACATCTTATGTTACACATGAACTCGGAAACTATAGGAAATGTTCCACTGACACAGTAGTATCAACTACATCCAAACCACATATCTGCTATCATCACTGTACCATGTGTAATAAACACACCATGACATAAGTTCAAATTCCTGTACAGATTTTCCAGCATTTGCAAAAGAAAGAAAAGAAAATATATAAATTATAAATTCAAAGCAAACATGCAATTTCATTCTATAGTAGCCATCAAGTACAGTAATTATGAACCTTGCATGTCCTAGGGCCTGAATATCTTTTGAAGCTACTTAAAATGCATTCACAATGCAGTGAGTAAACTTGAACAAAGACATATGTAGGTGTATATATCTATATACCTCTGTGGTCGAAGCTACTTATCAAACTATGCCATAAAGTGAGTGAGTGAGTGAGTGAGTGAGTGAGTTTGGTTTTACGCCGCTTTTAGCAATATTCCAGCAATATCACGGTGGGGGACACCAGAAATTGGCTTCACACATTGTACCCATGTCGAGAATCGAACCCGGGTCTTCGACGTGACGAGCAAACCCTTTAACCACTAGGCTACTCGACCTCCCCGCCATAAAGTAGTGAGCGAGCGAGTTTGTTTTTTACGCCGCTTTTAGCAATATTCCAGCAATATCATGGTGGGGGACACCAGCAATGGGCTTCACACATTGTACCCATGTCGGGAATCGAACCCGGGTCTTCGGCGAGACGAGCAAACACTTTAACCACTAGGCTACCCGACCGCCCTGCCATAAAGTAGTTACAAGATAGATGAAATGTGACAGCACAAGATGGCATAACAAGATCTACATCATAGTGTGCCAAACATCACAAGCTTCTTCACCAAACACCAAAATGGCTGTCACGGTGTCCACATCTGAAGATCTAATCACAACTGCCAGAACAGATTGATTTTTCAGGTTATGAACAGGTACGTGAGGTTTGTGTTGAGACAGATGTTGCCTTCAGAGAGAGATAACATGAGTATACAGATCATGGCAAAGAATATCTTTAAATGAAAATCAATCAAAGAAGAAAAAGCTTTTGTTCAAATCAAAATGTTCAGATTGTGTCAGAAACATGTTCAATACATGCAAGTATCAATACTGTACAATGACAGCTTGAGAGACATGTGTTGCAGACTGATCAATGCTCCTGTCAAAACATGCCATGAATGTGATCGTTAAACTTTTCCGTGCTAACATGGCTAATAATGATTAAAGCAAGCTGATAAAACAAATACCATCTGTGACCAACATAGGTTTCATTTGCTGTTGTGGTGATGATGGTAAAAAATATTACATTGAAAATTTGACCACTTTGATTTAAATTGTTGAATTCTTAAATCTCTAATCCACAAAAGTACAGTAAGCAAGCATAACAGTTAAAACATGATCATGATGTCAATTAAAACTACAATGGGAACATAAGTATTTGAAACTGGAAACCAGGGGTCTGGAAATGGTCATATGCGCCGAACATGTCCAATTGGGAATCTCAAATGTCCGGTTTAAAATATTGCTTACCGGGCATTTAAATTTTTCTGTCCAGACATTCTTAAATTTTGACCAGACATGATCTACATGAGCAGTTTCTGTCTGCAATTGTAACACAATAAAGATTATCTACACTGACAAGCTTTGTTTGTTTTCATTGCTGTAAATACATCGTATCTACATGATAGTCCAAGCGGTTGACACTGATTCCAGTGGAAACAACATATTGGCATATATTTAACACTTTTATAATAACAGGGTAACTTCAGAAAGAAATATCTGTCATTTGACTGTAAATTAAAAGTAATAATAATAATGAAAATAACCATGTGATTTTAAAGGCAGAGACTTGATGCTATAAGTACATATACACTCCTCGAAAGAAGTTAAATCAGGTTTCTTTAACTCCTTTTGCATATTATGCATGTATGTACTAAAAGCCTTCTACACAAACCAATGCTCTTTGAATACACAAAAGCGTGACTAAAAATGATGGCCAATCATCTAGGAAGTTACCAGTTAATGAGTTACTTCAAAAACTGACAAGTCTGTTGAGAACTCTTATTGTCTGACAGCTGGAGATAGACATCAGGGATATCGAGTAAACCTATTCTCCCATGAATCACCTTTCAACTGGCTAAAAGCCAAAGGGTTTATTGTAAGAACAAACACTAATTAACAGTTGATATCGTTAACTGTGGGAAAAACAGTTTCTTGTTTTTAATGATTAATCACAGAATGTCGTAATACATGCCATAAGTTCTGACTTATATCCATTGGGAATCTTTGTATTGTACACAACACTAATTAACAGTTGATATCATTAACTTTGGGAAATACAGTTTCTTGTTTTTAATTATTAATCACAGAATGTCGTAATACATGCCATAAGTTCTGACTTATATCCATTGGGAATCTTTGTATTGTACACAACACTAATTAACAGTTGATATCATTAACTTTGGGAAATACAGTTTCTTGTTTTTAATTATTAATCACAGAATGTCGTAATACATGCCATAAGTTCTGACTTATATCCATTGGGAATCTTTGTATTGTACACATCAGTATCCCTGAAGATATTGTGAGCTGTGAGCCCTCCCAAACTACATGTTCATAGCACTACAACAGTCGTTCCTCTATGTTAAACCTATAAAGTTACGACAGTCACTGAACTATGCCCACATGGTGGATCCGGCCCTGGTTCTCAAGTTAGATGATGTTGTATATTTGAAAACAATTGATAGCCAATTTTCTTTTACAGAGCTTTGATTTAAATAATCTTAGTTTATTCCTGTAGTTTTCTGTCTGAAATGCTATGGAAGGTGATGCCTCTTGTGTATGCAACTAACCTCAGCAGCCCTTTCAAAAGAGTCAGGCACGACTGTGGCAGTTTGGGAGCTAATAATCCCCAGGTAAATATCAGCTGATGAAACAGATTAGGACTGGACACATCAAAATGCAAAAACCCACACAGCTTGGAACTATGCAAAGGTGACAGTGACACATGGACATTTCATGGACATCTCATGGACACCTCGTGTGTCCCTCGTGTACAACTCCCCCACATCTCTGTCCTGCAGCCAACAGCCAACAGCCAGCAGGATGCGGTGGTACTAAAGATGTTGTGTGTAAAGCAGGGTGAACTCATGGATTTGTTGTTTGTTGTTTACACTACATGCAGGAATATTCCAGCTTTATGACGGTAGTCTGTAAATAATCGTGTCTAGACCAGACAATCCAGTGGTCGACATCATGAGCATCAATCTAGTAAATGGGGTATGATGAGTCTGTAAATATTCGTGTCTAGACCAGACAATCCAGTGATCGACAACATGAGCATCAATCTAGTAAATGGGGTATGAGTCTGTAAATATTTGTGCCTAGACCATACAATCCAGTGATTGATATCTTGAGCATCAATCTAGCAATTGGGATATGGTAACATGCATCAACCAAGTCAGCAAGCCTGACCACATGATCCACTTAGTCGTCTCTTTTCGACAAGCATAGATTGCTGAAGATCAATTTCAACCAGGTAGCAAGATGATTCATTTGTAATGCATTTCACAGGAAGCAAGGATTTATCTCTATGGAGCATAGAGAGACTGCACATGCACAAAACACAGTGATGTCACAACGAGTGGTTTGTAGCAATGAATGAGCATGTGTTTAGTGATAAATTCAGGTTCTTTCACAGTATGCCTAACACTTTGGCCACAGTTAAATATGATCTTCAGCAGCAGAAACTTATAATAACATATAGCAAAGCCCTTAAAAATGTTAAATTTCTACTAGTCGTTATGCTACCTTAACTATTGGGCACTTTGGCAAGGACTACAGGACCAGTGCCAATTTCTATCGCTGATCTTGTAAGACTTGATTCTTAATCAAAGAGGAACAGATTGGTCCATTGGTACAAACCCTTTGCAAGAAGTGCATGCAGTTACAGTTTGTTAATTATGGTCATTGTTGTTAGCTATGCAATAAGTTATGTACAATTAACATTGAGTACATTTATAGCTTCATTTTTGTCAACATTTCATCATAAGAAAGTCAGTTGTTTTTATGTATTAACAAGGGTGCCCATTTTCCTCCCACTGAAAATTACATTTCAATTACTTTTACATATAAAGTATAGCAAGAGATCAATATAAAGTTCAAGAAACTAATATATCATTCAATACATTATCACTAAATAAACAGTACCAGAAGTACAAAAGAACACATAATACTAAATAAGTATCAAGTTCAAAAACTAATTTCAAAAACCCATAAATTGTTTTTAAGTAAATTCTCCCTTAGCCTTTCGATTAGAAGCTGAAAGACAACAGACAAAACACTAGCAGGATAAAAACGAAATCTGGCAGGGTTTATTGAACAAGGCAGTATTTGAAACCGGTGGCAAGATAAAACTGAAGCATATATCAAACAGAGTGTCCCAGTGTCGGCCACCCTAGTCAAACACACAGGTTGTTTGTAAACAAGATTGATACAGTCGTCAGTCTGACATGAGAGCATGCTGACACATGCACAACTGCAGGATACTTTATACAAGTAGGAGACGATTAGCGATACAGATATCACTGAATAACCATATGTTATGCAACAGAATATGATATACTCCTCATCAAGTATGACAAAATACTAATGATAACAGTTCTAATAACCAAAGCATAAAAAGCTGTAAATTCACTATTAATGTTTCTTGAACTATCATGCATATCCATATTCATTTATGTACTAATCATGAAGATTCTTAGACTAACATTTAGTCTATGAAATCTTATATTACACAATATCCTTCTTGACTCTAAAAAAAATTAAAATTTTTTCCCTATGCTGAATTTCTGGAGCTGGCTCAGACTTGCCTTCGTATGTGTATCTAGATTGTTTTGTTTTTTCATAAAATAAATATATTCCACAGTCATGGTGCAGGACTAAAAGATGTCACATGCTACAATACTAGGATCCCTGAGAACAATGGTAAGGGATCCCTGAGTACATTGGTAAGGGATCCCTGAGTACATTGGTAAGGGATCCCTGAGTACATTGGTAAGGGATCCCTGAGTACATTGGTAAGGGTTTCCTTTTTTCCATAATAAACATGATAAAAATGTTAACTGAAAAAAGTAACACGTTCTTATTAACCTCAAATTAAATTTTACAAATGTACCATGACAGTAGAGCTGACCTGGGGTTTGTTCAACATATCATTCATCGTGCTACGACAGAAGTAAAACTATGTGAAACTGTACAAGCTGCAATAGTCAAAGATCGACCTACTCATTGAAGATATGAACCCTGGTGATATATAAGAAGTCAACAAAAGCAGTTAAGTCAGCATCTTGATGTCATACATTTAGTGGGATTAAACATGTGGAATTTGTGGGTGAGTTGTGATTAATGCCGCTTTGAAGAGCATGAGTTCTATTTGGGGATGTCAGCTTAATGTGGGAAGAAAGCTCGACCTAAATGCACGTCTCAGTGGAAAAGACAGCAATATATCAGCTGTATTACGATGGCCTGTATAAAGGTATAGAATCAAGATTGCTAAAGGCCAAACAATGGTTGATAGCATGAACATATCACATAATCAGCAAAGTCCCACATTGTAGCCAACCAATCCTCACTAGTCACCACTTACGACCATCGTGTGACCCCGGATCCTGATCACCACTTACACTGCTTCTTATTAGTCATAATTCATTGTACCCATTCTCTCAAGATTTCAATGAAGACGACAGTGTTCGTTTGTTTGCAATATTCCAGCTATATGACAGCCGTCTGCAAACAATCAAGTCTGGACCAGACATACCACTGATTGACATCATGAGCATCGATCTACGAAATTGGGATACAAAAACATGCATCAAGCATGTCAGCGAGCCTGACCACCTGGTCCTGTTAGTTGCTTCTTACCACCAGCACAGTGCCTTTTAACGGCAAGCATGGGTTGCTGAAGGCCTATTCTAACCCACATCTTTGGGGGTGTAAAATTACAGAGTACAATGACATGCATTAATACCTACCCAATGCCGTTGACCTTTGTCAGTTCGTTTATGGCTACATTTGTGTCACTGGCACGGATCTGAAATGACAAAATATATTTGAAACTGAAATCTTAACCATGTTCATGTACTATTATTGTTATTCTGTATCTTATTATTCCGAAAATAGGAACAGTAAAATGGTCTAACACGAATAACTAAGATTTTGTCCAAGAGAACAAAATTAGAAAATCTAAATATTTTTTAAATTTGTATACGTATCCTGCATCTACCTCTTAATATTACGACAAAGGAGACAGCGCCTTGCGATGGTCCTTGATGAAGAAAAAAGGTTGTTTTCACTTTCAGTCTTCTTTTGCAATGACCCATCGCCGCTGTCATATGACCATCTGTTGTGACGTCACATTGCTGCTTGTCACCCATGCTAAAACATTTTTGAAGCTATAGTGGGGAGGCAGGATGCGATGGGTGGGCCTTTAGACGTAGTAATGCAGGATAAGTATAAAATGTAAAAAATATTTAGATTTTACTTAATGTTTACTTATCCTGCAATACTCCTCAGGGTTAGAAATTGGCACTAGTCCTATAGTCCTTGCCAAACTGCCCAATAGTTAAGGTATCATAAGGACTAGTAGATATTTGCCATTTTTAAGGGTTTTGCTATATATTATCATTGTAAGGACTAGTGGAACAAAAACGTTAGTTTCTACCGCTGCTCCTCAATACATCTGAAACTGACGGTATGGCAACAAGCAGACATGGCATATTAGTATCATTATAAAACTATTTCTTTGCTTCGACAATAATCGAAAATAAGCAAATTTAAAGAACACCCGATTCTTTCATATGACTACAGTTAATCTGTCATGACAGATCTTAAACTATAACGCCGGTATCCAGGCCCCTATTACCCTACCCGTGTACCTGCTTTAGGTCTCAAGAGATAGGTACAAAATGTCCAAATGGGAATAGTTTGACCATAGCCCTGACAAAATATATTTAGATACATGTTAAATTATCCGGATATGCATACCCTAAAGTTGACAGAAGTTTTATCTTTATTCAAACATACTAAAGTCAGAAGGGATGGATGCATTGTCAGAAAGAACAGAAATAAATGCAAACATTAGTAACTTGTAGTGTAACCATGGAGTTCTAGATAAGTTTGGTCATTAAACAATATATCATGAGACTAACCACAGGTCTGAGAAGTCCTGTGGGTACTCGAGTACCCAGTACCCACCCAATCCGAGTACCCGAGTTACCTGTCCCAGCCCTATAACTAATAGTCAATAACAAAAGTAGTTCGGTAAAGATCATTGTCCAAAGGCTCATAAATCGGTGATACCCATCGTAACTCATAAAGCTCACCTACTTGTGCTATTATCACCATGGAACTAAACATTAAAGAATACACATAATTCTTCCTGGCTTGGTTTACTTGTTTTGTATTGAAGTGAGTGAGTGAGTGAGTATGGTTTTACGCCGCTTTTAGCAATATTCCAGCAATATCACGGCGGGGGACACCAGAAATGGGCTTCACACATTGTACCCATTTTGTATTGAAGAGTTCACAAATTTGTATCGCAAAGTCAACTGATACCTTTTCAAGCTTTTGGAGTTTGCCTGTTGCAATAAATTCATCAATCTTCTTGGCAATCTGAATTCCCACTCCATCCTGAAAGTAATCAAATCATTCATGAACAACACTATTAAAAACAGATGGGCAGCGAAAACATACACAAAACTTGAGTTAAAAGTGCATGATTTTTACAGAGGGTCTGGCCTGAAGAAGGGACATCAAATGTTTTTTTCTGGAGAAAGGACATTATATCTGCCATTATCTACCATATTCACCATCATAAGTGCTCCATGCACTTACTGAATTTGCACGGGTATGGTGCTAACGAGCCTAAAAACACAATTGTGGCAAACCGGGATTCGAACCCACAATCATAGGTTTCACTTGACAATATATATACCCCTTCTGCTAGGATGTATTCTGTAAAAAGTCAGTAATATACACAGGAAATTATGAACTGTCATGAAAGCTTTCAGTCTTAGTACATGCAGTAGGGGGCACTTATAAAGATACCGGTAACTTAGATTGATCTAGAAGTTAGACATAAGGTAAAAAGCATCATCATCATCATCATCATCATCATCATCATCATCATAAGGCATTTGTTCTAAATGATCATCTAAAATCATGGTTACTGGCTGGCAAAGGAATACTAGCATCAGCTTTTCAACTTTTACTTATTAGCATGAGAACGACTGTTATTCATATTCTTTCATGTTTTGTTTGTTTGTTGTTTAACAGTCGCAGACGTAACGGCTCTGTCGTCTCTTCTACGCGAGATGGGTGCGGTCCGAAGTACTCAGAGAAGCGCTTGATTCTAATTAATTCAATTACCGTGGTTGCGCTCTCACCCGTGACCTCCGCAAAAGTAATTAAAGCACTATGTCAAATCACTCACTGCTGAGAGAGTCCCCAATCCACTCAAGGTCGTGAATGGCGACGTTAAGTATTTCTAAGCAACTTAAAAGATATGTACAATATCTAGATATATGTATCTTTAAGTTGCTTAGAAATACTTAATCTTTACATGAAAGCTCCCATCTTGATGTATTATTCTGTTTTGTATAGTGACAGCTGGTGATTAATTGTCACCATATTGCTCCAGCTGAGGTAGCAGACGACACAGTTTCCAGAGCCGTGATTGCAGCCAAGGGCAGTCACAAGATATACTGAGCCTTGTGGCCTTATGTGACATGTTTTAACAGTTTTCAAAGCCTTTGTACAACGACAACATGTGACTATCGGACTCCAAAATTTCATATTTGTATCTATGATATTAAATTAAATATATTGACTTTATTAGGTACAATAAATTTACTACAAATCTACCTGTGCGTTTCTATTTTCGAAGAGTGTATATCTCCTTTCGCTAAAGTTGACCGGTCTATATTTTGTAAGAATAAACTATTGCACATCTCCTTTAGCTATATGCGTAGTATAGAGCTTTGTCACGCATGACCTTGCAATGCTGTACATCGTATCTTATTCAAGCTGTATCATTGAAAGTGAGTGATTATCTCCCTTACCCGAATAGCTCTATTGCGCACTACCTTTGCAATGTATCGTATATTATTCAGGCAGCCAGCGAGATTGGTTCGAGGGAGGAATTCAGGTCAAGCATGTAACGCGCACTCAATCTTTCTCCCTTCACACTGCTATTGCAACTTATTGTTCAACACGATCAAATACCAAGCTTCTACGAAGCATGACTTTGTTCAATAAACAACACATGTAAAACAACGGGTTCAATATCAGAAAGTTGTAATTAGTTGTCTTCAAAATCACATGTATGGTGCTTGCTGTGCAGATTTGAGCACAGTTTCAAGTAGTTCACTGTATGTAAAGTATGAATCATACCGTTTCATACAGTGGTTAACAGTTCTGCATGGTTTATTGTATTGACAGCATAAGGCGACTGAGCCAACCATGCTCCCGTACACAACTGTAACAAAATATCATGCAACAAAGATGTTTAAGATGAGATATGTATGGCATAACATTCCATGAAAAAACAATGGCAATATTACAAAATCACAAACTACAAAATATATGCCCAATAAGTGCAAAACACACAAGTACATTCAACATACAAAGAAGGCACATTATAACAAGTTTATTTTAAAAGAAGTTTATTATAATGATATGGAAACAATATGAGAATTGAGCCAAACACTTATATTCAGAATGCACAGGGAAAAGGGCTTCACTTTGAGAAACTTATTTTCTCTAACTACCGCGATCTGTGACATTATAAAGTGTATAAAGGTAGATATAATACTTATCTATAGATGTAAACACATTTGATGATACATCTGTGAGCTTAAAGTTGATATTGACAGCCCGGGCCAAGTCGGACCGAACACATGTGAGACTGTTGAGAGTATGGAGAGAAGAGGTCTACTTCAACCAACGTGTCTGCTTTAAATATGATGAACAGTGACATTATAAAGTGGTATTAACTTAGATATAGTACTGTCCAATAAATGCAAACGCTATGCGGACATATGGAAATTTGTATCACGATAGCTAGAAGTATTTGATACATTTCAAATCCTATTTCGTTTACCCATTGCCCTTTTACATGTTACCAAGATCGGCGACACTTACACACAGCTCCACTTTCTGTTTTTCAAGCGATTTACTCTGAATCACTTAATTATGGTGCACGTTCTTGGTTGCTGATTGTTCAATAATGTCCTGTGTGTATGTTGCATCAATAATATGTAGGTTTTGGTCGCTGATAATGAAGTAATAAGCCAATACAACTTTGGCCCGTCTTGGCCCGGCCCGACCAGACTTTTAGGCAATCCCTCGAGAACCGGACAACCAGTTCGACACCTCGGCCATCAACTTGCTGTTACCAGATGGGCAGTGTGTGGGTAGGGTCCCAAAGACTGCATCATCACGTCAGCGATGAATGATGGATCTCTGCAGAACGCTACTCCGTTCTTCACTGGGAATTTAGTACACCATGGCCCCAGTTGCAGTGGTGGTCCAAAGTTAACTTCCTTCAAATCTCCAAATGGCATGGGCTTGTGTAAAAACTGAAAACTGGCATGATTCCAGAAGATGACGTGTACTGTTGAGTTACGACAGACACACATGTATATACATGTATATTATCATGATTATTTTTGTCATTGTATTTATTGTCCATGTAGCACCTTTGGGCTACATTATTAGAAATAAACAAGTCTTGGTAACAGTTGTTCAATTACTTTCCTCTAATAATCCCATTATGAAAGTACACTTAACCAGTGCTTACAGATAAGTTAACCTCAATTAGTGTCAATTACTCACTACTCGCACCAATCAGCAGCATATCAGCGAAGCAAACTGATTTCGCTTAGCAACTCAGATCACACATGTGTGCTGTCCATTGTAATAAAATATATTCTACAACATATTCCTTCAGAATATATAGGTTTTCATATCTTACTCAAACCAAAAAACGAAGCCAGCAAAATTTATATAAGCATAGTTTCTGTGAAGTCTTTGATAGGCATATATAATAGTTACTGTATACATTGCTTTAGCATTAATGACCTAATAAAGTGTAAGTAAATCAATCCCTGGTTGGGGATAAAGACCCACAAGGAATGCATGCATTTTACCGCATCTATGGGGTATGGTGTTAGTAATTAAAAAAAATATAAATATTTTGGGTGAATATTTACCGCTACTACCATTGAAATGTACATTGTATGCGAAATATATTTCCAATCAAACACATGGCTAGTCCTTTAGGGCGAAAGAGCGACGTATAGGTACGGGGAGGGACCTGTAGGATTTATTACCACATCAAATAGCACTGAATATACAGGCAATCTCAGCAATTAGGCAAAACAGGTGCGATGCAGTAGTATATTCTATATATAGTAGTGTATTCTGCGTGCGTGATATGCCGTTTGGACCAGATTATATTATTTCCTGTCCACCTGTGCTCGGCTATATTTTTTGTTTATCGCATTATGCTGAAGTTATGGACAAAGACATCATCTCAAATTAATGAATATTCTGTCCTCAATATTGATCTGACAGTCATTAAAAGTGCCAATATGTCGATCGTTCGGGAGGCAAGATTGACAAACAATTATTCTGAAATAAGAGTGAGTGAGTTAAAATTTAACATTGTATTGGTATTATTTCAGCCATATAGCTACGAGACCAAGTTAATATGTTTACAATTTGAACAGAGGGGCCTAATGCAAGCCTTTTGGTGCGCTTCAAATATTGTTTTGCATAATTATATAGATATGCTAATTAAACTGCGAAAGTGAGGTGCATGACAATACAGCTTTACACACTATGCAAAGTGACGCCAATTATTCGATAGTCTTGATTTTATATTGTTCAAAAACAAGTATCATAACAGTCAATGACTACGTATGTTTGTTTTTATAATCACATAGGACATCTGTAATCCATCGATGTTGATCAGGGAGTCACTCTCTCTCAGGCCGTCATTCACTTGCTTGTTCGGAGAGCCGTCTCTCGTAATCGTAACGGGGCTGTGGGACGACTTGTTTACCAATTGCTATCAGTTTGAGGAAAGTAGACATGTTTCGACGGGCTGGCACACAGGTGTGCGTTTGTGTGCCCGAAAAAGTATATATATATGTTGTAACTCTTCGACGAATAAGCTTTAAGAAAATGCTGAAATTATGTTTCTGAAAAATACACACATAGGAGAAAATCGCTGTCCAAAATCTGCAAATTTGGCTCCAATTTCATACATTCCCCTCAAAATTTTAATTTAAGATTTTAATTTACTTTTCAATATTTTATGGCGTTCGATAACAAGTATATAACAGTCTTATTCATTATTTCATAGAAATACTCCAAAAAGGGTGTCCATACGTAGCAACTTCACGATGAATAAGATTCAAGTAAATAACAAAAAATATTTCTGTAAAATATGTACATAGGAAAATATCTTCGTCCCAAAAGGGCTAGCTTAGGTCATATTTCTGATTTAAACATTTTTATTTTCACAGAAATATGAAATTGGATTGGTTAAAAAGCAAATCGCTTATGTTAAGCTCACATTTCCCACTTTTCTCTCCAAATTTGACTGTTTAATTGATTATATTTTACATTTGGTGTCATTCGATAACACTTATACATATAGAAGTCAATGACAGTATGTATGTTTAGTTATATTATTCACATAAAATATGCCGAAAATTGCCGTCCAAAAAGGGCTGCGTTTGCTCACATTTCAAGTTTTTCTATGATTCAAAATATTGCATTGCGGGTAGCTGTCTCTCGTACCCGTACAGACCTTGCGATGCCCTGAACGCAATCCTGGTCATGATGATCCTGTCCCCAGCTATCTGGCTATTGTTGACAAGTTTGACTTTGTTCAAGATTATTGGAGGAAAAACTTGTTACTGCATATATACCCCAATTATGAGAATATAATGTGCCGTTGCATATATGGCCAGCGTTAAAATAATTCAGTACAAACTAAATGAAATCCGAGGTGCGTCGTTTGGAAATCAGTGGAAGTCTTTGCCCTGTTTACCAACAATTTTGCTTCTTCCTAATAATATAGTCTCGATGGGAAATTGTTTTCCTAATACGGGATCAAAATACATTTCCTCCTTGTTCTAACCATGAAACTACGCGCTAAATATCGTGCATATTATACGTACAATTCTCATTCAGACATTTTGTGTTAACAAGCAGTTGTTCCGATTGAACAATTTAGTCAGGCATCGGTTACCTGCCTTTATCGGCCTGTCGGCCTGTCACTTGTACGCGAGACGGTACGCGCAGTTTCAAAGAAAGTAATCATGTTTCAACGCGAAGGCAAACAGGTGTGCATTGGTGTGCATGAAACACTTCATGTATTTTGAAACTCTACGATGAATAAGCTTTTTGAAAATACTACATGTAAGTTTCTGAAAAATATGTACATAGGGGAAAATCGCTGTCAAAAACAGATTTTGCTCAATTTTTGCACATTTTTCTCCCAATTTGACCGTTTATTATTTTTCTTATGACACTTTTTCATGTCATTCGATAACTTGTATAATGATCAATAATTGTACTTAATTTTGTTTTATTATTTTCATAAATAACACTTGTAGAGACATTTTTGTGCAACATGAAGAAATCCACGGTCCACTGACAGATAGTCACGCATACGAGTGACATCCTCTCAGGTGGTCACTTGAACGCGGGATGGGACTCCTGTACAACGTACACGTTATGTCCTCTATTGTTTAACGCTGCACAAGGCAATATTCCAGGCACATGACAGCGGTCTGTACATAATCGAGTCTGGACCAGACAATCTTGTGATTGACATCAACCAAGTCAGCGAGTCTGACCACCCGATCCTGTTCGTCGCCTCTTGTGACAAGCATGGGTTGCATAAGACCAACACAAACCCGGATTCTCATAGGGTTATATAATTTCAACCTCTAACATCAAATACCCACCAGTTTCTTGGCCTCAGCTCCACTCTTTATCCGTGAAGTATGTTTAGCTATGGCGCCTGCTGCCTTCCGATATGCATTGTACTTGTGCATAGCTCGGTTAACATTCTTCTCATAGTTAGCTAGCTCTGAAAGAATGGAAAATATCAGTAGCATTAAACACTTGGACAGTTATGATACTCGGATACACCACTGTATCATGATACTCATCTTCTGATTACGATTTACAAGGCTGAAATATTGATGCAAATCATCTGATATCCTACATCAGTGTACAACATGTACAAGGCTACAATACCAGCACACATCTTTTAATAGCTTATAACTGTTTACAAGGCTAAATACTAACACAAGGATTCTTCACATACAACAATAAAGTCGCATTAAGATACTCACAACTATATGAAGCTTGTTGGCCTGAACATAATGAAGTTCGCTCTGAGACCAAAAACATTATACAGTTGTATACCAGGACGTCATGGTTGTATTATTTTATACAGCCAGTTTTCTTTATCATGATTACAGCCAAGTAAATATTATTATTATGTCATTACTCTGCGTAAATTTATCATTTCAAATACCAGATATGTCTCAAAGTCTTTTGTAAATTTCAATACAATGTTAGTTTTTATAATTGATTTTATGGCTAGATTCACTATTGCTGACAAGGAATAACATGGACAATGCTGAAGACATAAAACAACCCTAAGCAAGCATGGTAGTCTGTCTCACAGTCCATGAACCAAATTATGGTTCTTTCTGTCCAGCCCTGAGTGTAATGCCAAAGCCTCAAATGAAGCCATCTACCAGTGGATCTTCAAGTGTAGGTTCAGGGCCCACTTGCACAAAACGATCTTAGCGCTAAGACTATTGTAAGCCTATGCTAAAGTATGGGAGTTACCATCATCTTAGCGCTAAGATCGCTTTGTGAAAGTGGGCCCTTGTTCTGAGACCTGCTCAGAGGCCAATATTTGGCCCCAAATCTGCAGTAAATGATAGCAAAAATTCCCGATTTGAATTAAAAATGTCCCAATTCCTCAGAATTAAAGAACATTAAAATAATCAGATATTGAACAACACAACAATTTTGTCCCAATTTGCTTGCCAAGGACATTTAGTATGGAATCCTAGATTAATCCCTGGATGTGGCAAAGACTGATCAAATGAAAAGTAGTAAATATATAATTTGAAATGTAATATTGACATCAACACATGTGATGGTGTTTAAATTGAAATGTTAGAGATATAGCTTTTTAAAGGGAGACTAGGTTGTGGGTAATTGGCAGTCCCAGCAACAATACTTATCTGCTCATGTTATGTTGTAGATGAATGTATCAATAAATGATTCTCTAGTAATTATGTATAATATACTTTGTTAATTTCACCATAAATAATAAGGGTGTGCGGTATTACAAGTACACGTATATTGTGGTGCAAATCTTCAGCAATACATATTGCGATACGTTTGTAAATGTAGCAATATATTGGGGCAAATATAAATAAGTATATTTATGTGTTCCTAATCAATATGGAGATGGAAAAAAGTATCTTTCTGATACAACTTGCCTCTGACAATCTATTTATCAATGTACACATAGTGACTATCAAGCTCCTCACAGCAATAGCCCGTTCACGGATCTCTCTATACTGAGAGTATAACGAAGGTGTCACGTCCTGAGAACCGTATTATCTCCCTTGATCTTTGCTGGGATAAAAAATGGCAGATGATTTTGACATCGTCCCAAATATGCAAGCCAAGGGTGATGATGTCTAGCGAAAAGAAACTGAACAGGTGATATTTTTTACCTGTTTAAATAAATATAAATTGGATCTAAAATTAATTGTAAGTGATTGAAGAGTTTAGTTTGCTAATCAGATAATTCGGATTTCATGTATATTTAATTTTGATCAATTTTAAGTACTTCATTTTAGTGCTTATTTTATAAAAAAAAGTATTTTTACAATATTATGTCACTTCAACTGCAATTTTTACAATTTCATATTTGATAGGGCTATTAGTTTATCAAATGTCAATGAAATTTGTGCATTTTAGTTACAGTTGCTTTGTTATTTGTTAATGCCCGTCATTCATTCATGAAATACTGATGATCGCTGTACTGAGTCTACCATCTTCCCGAGGCAAGGGAGTTAACTGACTTTAAAAGCCCAGTTTCCACCCTTGCCGAACTAGGCTGGAATTACTGGGCTCGATCGTTGCACCACCAGTGGCTATTACCAATTATGTCCCTTCTAAACCTCTCCTATGGACCAATCAGATTCCACCTCTCGTATCACTTGCGTTTGCTTCACACAAAATGGTGGCGCCCAGTCAGGCCGATCTGATCGATAATCAAGATCTATATTGTGATAAAACGGGTCTTACATCGCGAAATGCATCAAATCACGTGAGCACCTTGATTAAAAACATGAAAAGATTTGGAAAATATCTGCCCACAACGAGTTGGCGGTGCACATGCTTTGCAAATCCTGCAATCGATCGAAATCTGCCTGATAGTTTACGAACCAGATTTTGATTTCGGTGCGCGATTTTGATTGGACAATGCATAGACTCGTTAGTCCAGACAAAATGTAACTCCATAATACCAGCCTAGTTCGGCAAGGGTGGAAACTGGACTTTTATACAGGGATGTGAGCAGGTTTTCCCGAAAAAAGAGGAAAAGTCTAGGGGGGGTCTGGGGGCATGCCCCCCCAGAAATTTTTAAAACATTTGATTGCATTTTAAGCAATTTCGTGCTGTTTGAACAACATTCACACCAAGAAATGTAATAAGTCAATAGCAAAAAAGTCAAATAAACAAGATGACAGATGCAGTAAAATTTTGAAGTTAAATCAGTACTTTTAAAAAATCGGGCATAGCTTACGCGCACCTGGCTACCCGCCAGGTCTGGGAGCAATACTGCCATAAACTTCAACCCCCATCCCCCAGACACAAGGACAACTGTCACAAGCGTGCAATGTCTGACCCTTTCCCCCATGTTGAAGCATATTGAAAAAAACTTACCTTGTACTTACCTTTTGATGAAAAGACAAAACTCCATTGCAAACATAAGACATAAATACAACATATATCCCAATGTTATGGGGTTTTGGACGCTGAAGAAACATTCATAGTTTTCTCGCTAATCACATGAACTGTAAAACATCTCATTCACTTACAGGCTAAAAGACAACTTTATCTTAAAAACAAGCCATCAGCTGACTCTGAGTATTTACAATTTCTGTGTGACGCCACACCCCACGTCATAGTGCAAGTATTCGTGATAGAAAACGTATGATGTCCGAAAACCTATGCTGGTGAAAGCTCTGATCGAAAACAGGACAATCCGCGACTGTTGTCCGGTTTTCGATCATATTTTTCGGAGTGTTTTTTTTTTTTTTTAAATTAAATTTTTACGCGGAAGATGATTTTTTCCGAGGACTACTGTTTTAAAGTCAGTTTACTCTCTTGCCTCGGGAAGATGTGAGTCTACCTGCTGCTGACTTAACAAACTGGCAGTGACTACTGTCACAAAATAAACAGGATTTATTTCTTGTTTTATTCTTATTTTCTAATCTCTTATCATACATTTATTCACTGAAAAGGAAAAATAGTGAGGGACACTGACTGATGGTATCTGACATTAATACAGGGTATAACTCTGATTAACTCATGAAAATGTAAATTGACAATTTATTGCAATACATATCGCATGACAGGTTAAAGCATGGCAATATATTGCAATACAAAATCTAGGTCAATACACAGCCCTAATATATTAAATAATAATGCCCAGAAGTCACCCTTGAAGATGAAAATACACTATAACACAGTGGATATATCTTATGATATATCTTAAGGCTACAGGGCAACTAGGAGTGTTTCATGGAAAACAGTTTTGGTTACTCTGCTGACTGTTATCAGTTATCAGTGAGGCCAGACTTGTTTCAAAACTAAGTTTACAAATCAGCTGACTCCCAAAATTTGAAATGTCAAATTAAAAAAAAAGAGAAGAATTTAAAAACAGTGTGTTTTCTTAACTCCGCCAACCAGAAATAAGTGAAATGTTAAAAAACAAACTTGAAGTTGACGAACTGGATGGCGATTTTGTTACATGATTTTGATTGGACTATGCATAGACTTGTTAGTCAAACTAAAAATATAACTCCATAATTCCAGCCTAGTTCGGCAAGGGTGGAATATGGACTTTTACAGTCTGTTAACTCCCTTACCTCAGGAAGATGTGGAATCACTTGCAAATTATTTATTTACATATTCAATATTCTTTCTGAATGTAACATCAACCAGGAATGAGACCAGCAGTTAAAGTTCCTTGAGTTGACAGGGTCAATTGATACATATAAAGAACATGCATCCTGCCTCATGATTAAACTGATAACATCAGCTTGCTACAGATGTTGGTACGTTAGACCATGACACTTTAGAAGCTGTGGTATGAATGAAGACAGGAGTTGAAACAGATGACTACCATGACTACAGATGTAAGTAAGTTTCACCTAAAAAGTGGACCCACTGGACATAGGTACTAGCATTTGTTGTCAAAATGTCCATTTGAAAGAATAAAGAAGAAAAAATCTATATCTCAACTCTATCTTCTTATCTTATCATCTTAATAAAAAAAAAAAATGGCACAAATCTAATTGGTGTTGGTTTAGACAGGGCTCAGTCAACTTGATAAAGCAGTCAGTATTCTAACTTTCAAGAAGTTTTATATCGAAAACATTTTGATAACGATATCATGTGTGTGTTTTGACTATCAAGTACACACTATCAACAGACAAATGCACAGGTTAAGAGCCCTTCAGGAGATCTTATTCACAATGACTAGGAAGCAAGATAGCAGCATATATCTGCCCTATCATTCAAGCATGTGATTAACATAACAAGGAAGAAATAGCAGTGCTCATAAAGTCATTTGGGCTAGACATGAACTTGTTGAAGGCATATCACATGACTGACACAGGGAAAGATTACATGCTTAAATCATGATGCCAATGACTCAATAGTATGGCTAGAAAATGCACAGGCAATGTCATGGTCTTGATGATATAGTGACATGCCATTATAAGTAGAATGTCATAATACTCTCATTTGTGAATACATTACCAC